TCCTTCCTCTCATCTCTTCCTACCTACTTTCCCTCCCTCCTTCCTTCCCTCCTGCCTTCCTTCCCTCCTGCCTTCCTTCCTTCCCTCCTTCCTTCCTTCCCTCCTTCCTTCCTTCCTTCCTTCCCTCCTTTCTTCCTTCCTTCCTTCCTTCCTTCCTTCCTTCCTTACTTCCCTCTTTCCCTCCTTCCTTCCTTCAAGTAACTTTTCTGGCCTGTGAGACCAATATAAGGTATATTGAATGTATATTCACTCATTGTATGCTACACAACAACTGCACAAACAGTTATTATATTGTTTACAAAGTATGTTTACACAAACCAACAATAAAAATGTTGTTTATTAATATTTTTCTATCACATATATACACATATAAAGTCACTGGACACTTCCCAGAACTGCTACAGTTTCTGTAAAGCTCGTAGTTGTTGTGTGGGGGTGGACTTGTAAATATGCTGAGTCACCAGCCTAATTATTGTCACAATGACAAATAACACCACCACTCACTACCCTCACTGCCTGTCAACACCCATCCCTTCCTCCCCACCTCACCAACCCACATGGAAATAAATCACTGTCTGAATTTTTTGAGTTATCCTAGGTTGATGGTCTCCTTCCTTTCTTCCCTCCTTCCTTCCCTCCTTCCTTCCTTCCTCCTTCCCTCCCTCTCTTCCTTACTCATTCCTCTCATCTCTTCCTTTTCTCTTTCCTTCCTCACATCTTTTCCTTCTTTCCTCCCTTTCTTTACTCCTTCCTTTTCTTCCTTCCTTCCTTCCTTCCCTTCCTACCTTCCTTCTTCCTTCCTTCCTTCCTTCCTTCCTTCCTTCCTTCTTCCTCCTTCCTTCCCTCCTTCCTTCCCTCCTTCCTTCCTCCTTCCTTCCTCTTCCTTCCTTCCTTCCTTCCTTCCTTACTTCCTTCCTTCCTTCCTTCCTTCCTTCCTTCCTTCCTTCCTTCCTTCCTTCAGGTTGGTTTCCTGGCCATTGCTTTTGGTCACAAACTCCTCAAAACATGAAATTCATCTTCACTGACACTTCTATCTGTGTTTGAACTGTCACCTGGGGATAAAAGAGCCCATTTAGCCGAGGAGTGAGGAGTTTCTTACCGCTAGACATGGTGAACAAGGTGTAATAAATTGGCTTTCCCACAATGCACCACTGGGTCCCCGATTTTTTTATACCACGCACACTGACCATGGAGACCCAGACTCTCACATCCAGGACTACCAGCCTTTTCCTGCTTGATTTGAGAGATGCTAGAATTTAATGCGTACTAGTATGGCACCAACCCTAGCGAGGTAAGCCGTACTAGTAGGCACCAACCCTGAAAGGGTCAACAGAATGCCGTAAGGCGATACAAAATAAAGTGTGGCCCTATTGTATATTAACCCTTAAACTATCCAAACGTTGATCTACATTCACGTGCGTAGCGCTCCAACCTCTATTTTCTCTTTTGAAAGTATGTAAAAAAAACGTAGATCTACATTCGGAGCACTATGCAAGTGAAATGTAGATCTACGTTTCGACAGTTTAACCCTTTGAGGTCCGTCCCGTAGATCTACGGCTTTACGTTCAGGGTCCAAACCGTTAGATCTACGTCATGAGCTCAGCTCACTCTGATAAACTGTGGAGTGATACATATGAGAGAATATATCTATGTGGTATGTGTGCACCACATAAAACAGATCCTGCAGCACGCTGTGTATAATGAGAAAAAAAACTGAAATCATGATTTTTCGATTAAAACAGCAACTTTGCAGTGTTTTTTTCGTATGTTTTTTATAGTTTGTATTTGCGATTTCTTGGTCTCATTTGATAGAATGGAAGACATATTACAGAAATAAAGATGATTTTGATTGGTTTTGCACTGGAAATGGCTTGAAACTGAGCTCCAAGTAGCAGAAATGTTAAATTTTCGCCGATATTCAAGAGTAAACAAACTACCTCACATGTCTAATACACGCCAGCTGGTGGGGTCTAATATGCATTCACAAATATGGTGATGATATTTATACAATTATTACAGTATTGCATAACAGTAAATCTTCTATTTTTTGGTGTGAATAAAAATTCATTATTGTGAATAAAAAATCAAAATGGAATTTATTTGTAAAGCCTCAAAACGTAACTAATGAAACAGAGGAAATGTTAGTTTAGTTCCAGGAATGCCTACATTGTTTATTCTGGACCCTATTTTGAAATTGGAATATTTTGAACTTTGTGTAAAATTGGCCAAATTAACAATTTCTGATCACTTTAATTTGTAGTTGAAACAGTTGACTTGGCGATTTCTTGTGCTCAATCGATAGAATAGAAGTAATACTAGTGAAATAGCTAAGAATTTGGTTGACTGGAATAATGTAATTGGCCTAAAATGGGAGTCAAAGTCGGCAAAATCGCCAATTCATAAATATCGCTGACACATCAAAATTTGCGAGAGCATAATTTCGTCAATTTTCCATCAAATTTCGTACTTTTTGTTTTATTACCTTCACATGAAGATTCTCTACCATTTCACAGGAAAAAATAACAAATTTTTTTTTTTTAAATTCTTGGACACTGGGGCACCACTTCAGATTTGGGCCTTGGACCCTGAAGGGGTTAAGGGTTAAATTACCTTCAGTTGTGTGAAGCTATAGAAATTGAAATGTTTTGTTGTTGTATTTTATTAAACATGTTTGATAGGAGTGAATGGAGACAAATGGTTTTTAATACTTGACGTGCTGTTGGAGTGTGAGCAAAGTAACATTTATGAAGGGATTCAGGGAAACCGGCAGGCCGGACTTGAGTCCTGGAGATGGGAAGTACAGTGCCTGCACTCTGAAGGAGGGGTGTTAATGTTTCAGTTTAAAAACTGTAGTGTAAAGCACCCTTCTGGCAAGACAGTGATGGAGTGAATGATGGTGAAAGTTTTTCTTTTTCGGGCCACCCTGCCTTGGTGGGAATCGGCCAGTGTGTTAATAAATAAATAAATAATAAAATTGCCACCTGTAAAACTTACTAGTACAGCCTCTCCTCATCTAACAACGGAGTTCCGTTCCTAAGACCACGTCAGCATCAAAATATTGGCTCAATGAACGTCACTGAACTCTGTGTAAGTCATTCATGTCGGGGCCTGAGCGGCCCAGTGTGCCATTGTTTACCAGCCAGTGAGGACGATCCCACACGTTCATACGATACATTTTGTATTATTCCATTCTTTTTAGTGCTTGTAACTGCTAAATAAGCCACCATGGGCCCAAAGAAAGCCTCTAGTTCCAGCCAGCCCTTTGGTAAAGGACTGAGAGAGAGAGGAGAATGTGCCTTTTTTAGTGATTCTGCAATATGTACGATACTAAAGCAGCAGGAGTCCATAAAGGTTGTAGCACCAGCCAGTGATAAAGTGTAGCATTAACTGTAGCAAGTAAGTTGAGCGATTAATCGATAGAAAAAGGACAGCATGAAACTGACTCCTCCGTTGTTGTTGGAGGTATATAGGGCTACTGACTAACACCGCCGCCTTCACCACCACTATGTAAGGCTAATCTTTCAGTGGCCGTTATACACCCAACAACAAACAAACCACCACTCATGACATTCTTAATGCCATATTTTATTCATTCTAGAGTATATATCATGTTTCTATGTTATTAATATTGTTTATTATATTGTATTAGATGAATTGTGCTAGATAAATAAGCTGTAGAGCTGATATTAGTGAAGGACTATCTTGTCCTGTCTCCCAACACAATTCTTAACATATACCAGAAACAGACCTCTCTGAAGCACTATTTTGAGAAACAAGGGTCCAGTGACTCTCAAGCTGGTCCAAGTGGCATTAAAAATCAAAGGAGGGAAGTAACCCAGGGTAAGGACTTGGTACCTGAAGTCTTTATGGAAGGGGATTTCCCTTTCAAACAGTTGTAAACTCCTCCATCCTCTCCCCTCCTCCAGTCTTCCATACATCACCATGTCTTCAATAAAGGTAAGTGTGATATTATTATTGTTTTATTCTTCATGTATAATTGTTTTCTGTGTAGGTAAATGTATATTTCATGTAGAAAATATTTTTTAATACTTTTGGGTGTCTGAAACGGATTAATTGGATTTCCATTATTTCTTATGGGGAAAATTAATTCAGAATAAGTCAGATTCAGATAAGTCACTCTCTCTGGAACAGATTAATTTCATAATCCAGGGGTCCACTGTACATTATTGAGGTATTCATACTGGTCAGAGAGCCCGTCTTACGTTTACCGACATACTCGTTTACCGAGTCGTCTGTAAATTAGTACATCGCTAAGGGAGGAGAGGCTGTAATACTAATTATGAAAATTCTTTTGATAATGCAATTCAAATAACTGTTCACAAATTGTTCACCACTAGCAATTAGTGTTACTGTGCTTTTTACCAGTAAGTCATTCATAATAGACAATCATATCTGCAGAAGAGCTGTTTGTATACCTGCCCAAATTAAAATTTCATATTACAGGTATGTTAAGATATTATGAACAAAAAGGAATACAACAAACTTAAATTTCCTGCATCAGCCACATTATCTTAATACAGTGTATATTGAAACATATATTTTAATGTAAACAGTCCAAGCAGATCTACATTCACATGTGTAGTGCTCCAAAAGTAGATCTACGTTTTTTTACATATTTTCAAATATAAAAAAAAAAAAAAAGTAGATCAAAGTTTTTTACACATTTTAAAATGTAAAAAAAAAAAAAGATCTACTTTTTTTACATACTTTCAAATGTTGAAAAAACGTATATATACGTTTGGACCATTTACGGGTTAACTCAAGTTTAGCAAAAATTAAATATTTTGTATTGAACTACATTTAAACCCAAATGGAGAAAATAAAACAATTCCTTCCTTAGTACTGTGAAGTCAAAATATATGCTATAGTACTATACTCTTCTGTTTTATTTTCTCCATAAAGAATCGTTAGTGCCACTGACTATTGTTTATTATATGTTTGCGTATTGATTTTGTACAGAGTTGCTGTACTTTCTACAGGAAGAATTTGTGTCTCGTGGAAGAGCTGTGGCAGGAGCAGTGTGGGGCTTACATTCCACCAAGGTGAGGGTGGAAGGTGCCCTTGGACTCTGGCCCATGGTAGTTGACACTCACCAACTACTACAAGAGGCTTTCCACCTTACTGCCTTTGGCTCCACCCAGTTGTAAGTTATTCATGCTGTATGTACCTGCTGCTATTTGTTTCCACAATACACCTGTTAATAATTTAATCACACTATAAATCATACCAGGTTTTAATTGTTTGGTTAATCAGATGACTAAGAGGTTGCCTGCAGGTGCAGGAGTGGCAACTGAAGGTTTGGCTTTTGGTATTCTTTCTAGTTTCCCCACTGCCATTATTAGTTAAAACACAATTGTGCAGTTAATTATTCTTGTTTAAATGAGTAATTGGGTTCCTGGCCATCATTGTTTTACAAAATCAGATGCACACGACTGGCATATGGGTACCAATTAGAGAGATGCCTAGCACAACACTGTCAACACTGCCAGGCAGATCTATCAATTCACCATAGCTTAATAGATTGCCCTATTTATAAGAGAGCACACAGAATTCACTTTCAACATGTGCAACACCCTGATGTGCTCACTCTAACCTCACCTCAATGCAGACTCACTCTTTGGCTTTTTAATAAAAACTGACCAATTGCACCAGCTCTTATATTAATTTTGCAATTGCACTAACCCCACACTAACCCTCAGCTCCACTAACCCCAATTCCACAAACCCCACGCTGACCCCCAACTTCACTAACCCTGCTATCACCCCTATGCAACAAACCCCATACTCACCCTTAGCTCCTCTAACCCTCCACTAACCCTCAACTCCACTAACCCCACATGAACTCCAACTTCACTAACCCTGCAATAACCCCGAACTCCATAAACCTGTCACTAACCCCCAACTCTAACCCTGCGCTGACTCCAGCGCCACTAATTCTGCACTCACTCCCTAACTCCACCAACCCCAACTCCATTAACCCAACCAAACTAAACCTAAATCCACTAACCCAACTCTACAAACCTTGTACTATTTCCAGCCATCGAAATGCTATCATGTCATTGGTATGAAATACCTGTACTTCATTGGTATCCAGGGCTCATGTTAATGGTGGCATGTTTTCTGTTTCCTCTCACTGTCCTACACATGTCTGTATTGTTCACCTTGAGGAAATGACAGAGAGAAGGGCTTGTGTACCAGTTATTTGTGAGCAGGTTATGCCCCTTACCTAGATATGGCTCCATCATATTCCTCACAACTGCGCCAGAGAGTCCTAACATGCCACCTGTATTTTCAGTATGTAGTTTTGTTTCCTGTATACATAATAATATTATTATTATAATCAAAAGGAAGCTCTAAACCTACCAGGGGCATACAGCACTGCTGTGTACATAATAATGTCAAGCACTATTTCAGTTCCACAGTCATACATCACAAAGAGTTTGATACCAAATGAATTTTGTTTCCTTGGTATATATTGTTTGAAGGAGAGTCTTCCTTAGAATAAAATCAGAGACTCATCTATAACAGTGTTTATTAATGGTTAAAAGTATTGACTGAATTTGTTTCAGTTACATAATCACTTCCTGTATTTTGTAGAGGAAATTATCTGTCTGGGGATTGATTTTATCAGAGAAATGCAACAGACACAGCAACAACAGAAAGCATTCATTGAGCATGTTTTCACTGACAGCTGGTGTTGCTGTAAGTCTACCTGTATTCCAAAACAGATAAGTGCGTGGCATTAGCATAAGTGTTGCAAAGAACAAATGCATCTCTGCAACAGCAGTGCCCTTCTATTATCAATGCCTTGATTTCAGTAAAACATACATTGGCCACTGTACACTTGTAATAGCTATTTGTTTGAGTGGCAATCAAGTTCATCAGTGTGTCATTGAAGAATAATCCGAAGAGTCAAGTTCAGTGAAATCATCTGAATTCATGTGAAGTAAAAGGACACAAGTGCAACTAATGTGACATTTTACTGTGGCAACGTTTTGCTCTCCAGGAGCTTTGTCAAGCCATAATGGCTTGACAAAGCTCCTGGAGAGCAAAATGTTGCCACAATAAAATGTCACATTAGTTGCACTTGTGTCCTTTTACTTTACATTTTTTTTTTTCAACAAGTCGGCCGTCTCCCACCGAGGCAGGGTGACCCAAAAAAGAAAGAAAATCCCCAAAAAGAAAATACTTTCATCATCATTCAACACTTTCACCACACTCACACATTATCACTGTTTTTGCAGAGGTGCTCAGAATACAACAGTTTAGAAGCATATACATATAAAGATACACAACATATCCCTCCAAACTGCCAATATCCCAAACCCCTCCTTTAAAGTGCAGGCATTGTACTTCCCATTTCCAGGACTTAAGTCCGACTATATGAAAATAACAGGTTTCCCTGAATCCCTTCACTAAATATTACCCTGCTCATACTCCAACAGATCGTCAGGTCCCAAGTACCATTCATCTCCATTCACTCCTATCTAACACGCTCACGCACGCTTGCTGGAAGTCCAAGCCCCTCGCCCACAAAACCTCCTTTACCCCCTCTCTCCAACCCTTTCGAGGACGACCCCTACCCCTCCTTCCTTCCTCTATAGATTTATATGCTTTCCATGTCATTCTCTAAATAAATAAATAACAAAAAGGCACAATACCATGACTGGAACGATACACAAATAACCCGCACATAAAAGAGAGAAGCTTACGACGACGTTTCGGTCCGACTTGGACCATTGACAAAGTCACACTAACAGAGGTGGAGCAGGACGGCTTCCCTGGAGCTGGTGTTGGGGACATAGTCAACAGGCTGGATAATATCATGTCAGGTAATGGGAACAAGCCCATTATCTGTCTCAGTGCTGGTGGAAATGATATTGGGAAGGGTAGGAGAGAAGAGCTGCTAGATAAGTACAGGTCAGCTATAGATTTCATTAAGTCTAAGGGAGGGATCCCAATCATATGTAGCATCTTGCCTAGAAGGGGAGTAGGAAATGAATGGTTGTCTAGGGCAATTGGTGTAAATTGCTGGCTAGACAGATACTGCAAGGAACTTACAATCCCATTCAATTTACAACTGGAACAACTTTTATGGCAAACATGATATGTATGCAAGGGATGGGGTACATCTTCTGGGGCAGGGGTGGTAGCACTTGCAGACTCGATTGAGAAGGCCATTGGTGAAATGCCTATGATTTTAAACTGATGGAAGATAGAGGTATGGGTGTGTGTGGGAAACAAGCAGGTTGCAACACTAGGGTTGGAAACAGTAAATGTATAAAAGGCATTCAGCATGAAGTTATAAATAAAGACAATAGATCAGGGCAGCAAACAAAGGGGGGCAGCAGAGTGCAGCAAGGGACTAGCTCCCTTAAGGTTTACTATACTAATAGCAGGAGTGTAAGAAATAAGATAGATGAGTTAAGATTAATTGCAAGTGCAGGAAACATAGATATTATTGCTATAACAGAGACCTGGCTCAATCTGAAAGATAGAGAGATGCCCTCTGAATGTCACATACAAGGCTATAAATTATTCCACACTGACAGGGTCAACAGGAAAGGTGGTGGAGTAGCAATGTATGTCAGAGACAATTTAAATTGTTGTGTTAGACAAGATATTAAATTAGAAGCATCAGCCACTGAATCTGTTTGGTTACAGCTTCTCGAGGGCCGAGAAAAACTAATTTTGGGTGTGATTTACAGGGCCCCAAATCTTGATAGGGAGTGCAGTAAACTTCTATGGGACGAAATTCGTAAGGCATCTACATACGAAAATGTTGTGCTAATGGGAGATTTCAACTATAGACAGATTGACTGGAGCAATTTGACAGGAAATTTAGAGTCAGGTGACTTTCTTGATACGATCCAGGATTGTTTTTTAAAACAGTTTGTGACAGAGCCTACTAGGGGAAATAACCTCCTTGACTTGGTTCTTGCCAGTAGGGAAACACTAATTAATAATCTTGAGGTTAATGATGAGCTTGGGGAAAGTGATCACAAATCACTCAGTTTTAATATATCATGGAATTCCCAATAATGGCAATCAAGTCTCCGTCCCTGACTTTCGCTTGGCTGATTTCATAGGACTGAAAAATTACTTAGGTGGGCTGAACTGGAATGACCTGACTAAGGGTCAGGTAGGTGGTGATGGTTGCCGATATGATGCTTTCCAGGGCATAGTTCTAGCTGCTCAGTCAAATTATGTTCCAAATAGGGAAATCAGATCAAATAAAAATGATCCTAAATGGATGAACAATAGATTAAAATATCTGATTGGTCAAAAGAGAGGCATATATAGGCAAATCAAAAGAGGAGAGGGGCAATTAAGAAATCGATATATTCAGTTAAAGAGAAAATAAAAAAGGAATTAGAAAAGCAAAAAGAGATTATGGGTTAAAGTTGCAAGAGAATCGAAGACTAACCCAAAAGGATTCTTTCAGGTATACAGAAGTAAGATCAGGGACAAGATAGGCCCACTCAAAAGTTCCTCGGGTCAGCTCACTGACAGTGATAAGGAAATGTGTAGAATTTTTAACACATACTTCCTCTCAGTTTTTACACAAGAGGATAACCAGCGATATTCCAGTAATGATAAATTATGTAGAACAGGACAATAATAAACTGTGCACGATTAGGGTCACAAGTGACATGGTCCTTAGGCAAATAGATAAATTAAAACCTAACAAATCCCAGGCCCTGATGAACTGTATGCAAGGGTTCTAAAGGAATGTAAAGAGGAGCTTAGCACACCTTTGGCTAATCTTTTCAACATATCACTACAAACTGGCATGGTGCCAGATAAGTGGAAAATGGCAAATGTGATACCTATTTTCAAAACAGGTGACAGGTCCTTAGCTTCGAACTATAGACCAATAAGCCTAACCTCCATAGTGGGAAAATTTATGAATCAATAATTGCCGAGGCAGTTCGTAGCCACCTTGAAAAGCATAAATTAATCAACGAATCTCAGCATGGTTTTACAAAGGGGCGTTCCTGCCTTACGAATTTATTAACTTTTTCACTAAGGTATTTGAGGAGGTAGATCATGGTAATGAATATGATATTGTGTATATGGACTTCAGTAAAGGCTTTTGACAGGGTCCCACATCAGAGACTATTGAGGAAAATTAAGGCACATG